ATGACCTGAGCCAAAGTCAGATGTGTAACCAACTGAGCCTCCCAGGCGCCCCTAAAGTGGGTCATTTTAGATGCTATCCTAGGGGTATATTACCAGGCTTGCCAAGATCAAGCCTAAAGCAAACAATCCTCTCCCTCCAAGTTCAATGAATTTATTGTAAACCACTTTGTCTTTTTCTTGCAAGGTCCATATAAAATTGCTCCAAATCTGCTCCGAATGTTTCTGAAAAACCTCACATACCCTTTATCGTTTATAATCAAAACTTTCCCCCCAGTGTTCTAAGTGGCTTGGGAAGCCCAATCCAGAGGCTGTCTGGAGCATCTCCTATCTACACGTGCAAGCTGCCGTGGGCCATACACAGTATCTGTGTGACCGCTGGTGCCATGTACAAGGTAAGTATGGGTATGGGGCAGAGCCAAAGGAACTGCAGTCTTTGGGGGGGCAGGCAGCAGAGGGCCGGGCAGCCCCAGGGGCTCAGAGCCAGGCACAGAGGCTGCAGCTCCAAGGCCACAGCCCTACTTGCAGGAGGCAAGCAGTACCGGCCTAGAAGCCTCTGCACACCTTTCTCTCCCTGCCGACTCAGCCTGGCTCGGGCTTGCCCAGGGCTCAGCTCATTATCTTGTTATCTTTACAACTTTATTCCCACTGCTTACAAGCAAATCCTTCCCAAGTTTCTTCGTTGATCTTCAGAAAGAAGACACTGGTTGAGCCCATCATTTTGTCCCATGCTGTCTGGAGCAGCTAATTAATTAGTCCATGGGTAGCCTGGCCTCCCTGGGGGCAAGAGCTTTAGATACTGTGGTCACTAGTATCTAAAGGGATAGGGCATGCAATGAGGCTTAGGCACAGTTTGGGGCTATGAGTGAGTGATCTAGATTCTCTTAACATGCGCTTCAGATCAGGCCTGAAGCATCTCTCATGGTGGCCTCCAGGAGTCCCTTGGGGAAGTTACTCCTTCCGCCTTTATTCCCCTAGGGCCAAGTATGCACTGGGGCCCAGGAAGGGGATAGACCTCTTTCAGTCCGCTCTGGAGCCCATTTGTTTTAGCCTGCCTGGGCAAAGCTTATGAAGATTTTATTGGGATATCAAAATGGACACTTGGGCAAAGGGAGCCCTGGTGATGAGTAAGTGTCCTATCCTAATGCAAAATTTGCTCAATCTTATTTAAAAACAAAGAAAGGCTTGGGGCCCCTGGATAGCTCAGTCAGTTAAGCCTCTTGACTTCAGCTCACGTCATGATATCATGGGTCACAGGTTCAAGCCCTGAGTCAGGCTCTGTGCTGACAGCGTACCACCTGCTTGGGATTCTCTCTCTCCTTCTCTCTCTGCCCCTCTACTGCTTGCATGCTCACTCTCTCTCTCAAAATAAATAAAATAAAATGAGATAATAACAATTGGGCTTAATCACTACTTTTTTGCCTAGGAGACTAGCCAAAATGTAAATATCCAGTGTTATGAAAATACATATGGGGAAAAAAGGACTCTGATGCACAATGGAATGCAGATCAAAAGCCTTGGGATGGCACACACCCTCCAACCCAGCAATTTCATTTGTAGTGGAGAGCTGAAAATGTACAGTACTCCTGTTGTGAAACAAATATAGTCCTTTGATTGTCTGTGACTGATTTCCTCCAAAGCACCCATCTTGATAGGAAGCGAGAGAAAACTAAATTCAGTCCACGCCACTAAAACCCAGTTTAATTCAATACATAAAGGGACCATTTAGATGCTCAGTCTATCAAGGTAATTGTCTGGTCTCTCATCAATTCTCCCACTTCAACATAGGTTTAGGCACATAGGGGGCGGGAAGGCTTACATGTCCTATGGCATTAGGGAAAAGGCTCTTTGGAGTTCATATATAGTACAATCCCATTTCTGCTATTAAAAAAAAAAAAAGTACAAGTGTCAAAGTGTGTCAAAGAAAAAAAGTCTGGAGAGGTAAAAAGCAAAGTCTTATCTTAGTTATCTCTGGGAGGTAGAATTGCCCTGAGCTACTACTATCTTTTACATTTATCTGTTTTGGTTTAATTTTATAAGAAGAATGCATTAATTTCATAATCAGAAAAAACCAATAATGATGTTTCATTCTGATAAAAAGCAAACAAATGCAACAGATGTTAACTTGGATTTTGACTGAAGTGTCAAGATATAATAGTGATTGAGCATCAAAGTAAGGTGTGAGCAGACCACAAATATTTCAAAGGCGATTTTCAAAATCTGGTTACCTGTCTCTTGGTCCTTGGCCTAAGGAATCCCTAACCCAGAGAGAGGAAATACAAGAGTCAGAAGAGGGGAGATTGGGGGTGGGGGGGAGGGAATTTGTGGGGAGGATTTCCCTGGGAAAATGTGAGGGATCACCTACTCCCTCCCCTCCAGTCTAGTGAGAAAGGCTTCAAGGGGACAGACTACTCAGGCAGCTTGAGGTGTGGTCATTGCTGTAGGGCATATACGATGGCCTGTTGCTGGTTGGCTCAGGAAGGCTAAGCAGCCTTGGCTGAGAGAAAAGGGCCTCGGTGAGAATTGCTCAACCAGCTGGGTGCAGGTCAAATGAGACAGGAGTCCTGGGGACAATTTGAGGCGGAGGCAGAGGTTAAGTCTCCCTGGGGTGGAGCCCAACCAAGAGGGTAGCCAGTGAGGACAAGTAGGTCCCAGCAGTTAAAGGCTGGGAGGCAAGTCCTATGGCGAGACTGTGGGGAGCAGGAGGCAGGGGGACCCTACTGAAGGAGAAGGAGCGGAGTCAGAGAAGCCCAGCAGGGAAGTCTCTCAGGACTTCACAGAAACCCTCAGGATCAGTGTTAAATATCTGCCAGGGGACCTGTGGCCTATGGGTCGCCAGGTGTAGGACCCATAAAGCCAGGACTATCCCCCTTCCCTCTCCTCTTTTCCCCATTTCAACCTTAAAGGTCAGAAACAGCAGCAAGATTAAGAAGTGAATAAGAAAGAGAAGTAGCTCCCTCCCAGGCTACCTGCTATGGGCCCTAGCTTTGGGAGAGTGGGAGAGAAATCTTATCTATGAATGAAAATTTAAATATTGATTAGTATATTGGGCTGAACCCTTTTAATTATTTAATTAAGCCTGCATTCGTGACTTAAAGTGATTCCCTGGACTTTTACACTAAAGATGTCGAGAAAAAGTTATGAGCTTGGCAGGATTTTTATACGTGGTCATGGAAAAGACCATCCTAACCCTCACTGGAAGGGATTGAAAGCAGTGGAAGACAAAAATAAAGTGGCTTTGGTGGATATAACCCATAAATCCTGCATGTTCAGTATACTGGTTATACAACATTCCTTTCTTAAAAGCCACTCTGCCTTGAGTTTGTAGATGCACTACAGCAGAACAACCCAGATGTTGGCTAGAAGCTCCTTATTCCTTGGAGGTCTGGGTATAATGGGATCAGATCCAGCCAATTCCACAGGCTGGAGAAGTGGAGCTTGCCCAATAACTTCTGCTCATTCTCAGAGACTTCCTCACCTGAAGTCTCCTCAGCCTCTTATTTCTGAGTCTGTTTTCCCTTCCATTCTTTCCCCTTATCAGCCTGGATGCAGAAATGAGTATCTCTTAGCATTCCCTCTATAGAAGAATCTCTTCACACAAAGAACAGTTGTGAGTTGTGAAGACTTTCCTGAAGGTTTTCCATCTTCTCAGAGTGGGGCAGTGTTAGGTGGTCAGGGAAGTTGCTTTACTTAAAGTTCACAACACTTACAGAGTGATTGCTGTTATTCAGGCGCAATGCTAAATGCTAGAGATACAGAGTACATGATGTCCACTGGCCTCAAGATACTTACAGTCTAGTTGGGGAGACACTGTAAGAGAATATGGGAAATGCCTGGTAGAGCCCAGGTTGCCATGGGAGCACATGGGGGGAGGCGAGGGCAGAGGACATCTAAACAGGCCTGAGGTGAGGACGGACGTGGGAAGTCAAGGTAGACTTCCCTCTATGATAAAATAGCAGATTAGATAAAGAATCAAATAGAATTCAAGAATGGAAAAATATAGTTAGAGATGTTAAAAACTCAAGAGATGGGTTCAACAGTTTAGATGCATGAGAAGAGAGTCAATGAATTAGAAAACATAGCAGAAAAGGGGCGCCTGGGTGGCTCATTCAGTTAAGTGTTAGACTTCAGCTCAGGTCATGATCTCACAGTTCGTGGGTTTGAGCCCTGCATTGGGCTCTGTGCTGACAGCTCAGAGCCTGGAGTTTGCTTCAGATTCCGTATCTCCCTCTCTCTCTGATTCTCCCCCTCTGGTGCTCTGTCTCTCTTTCTCGAAAAAAAAGTTAAAAATAAAAAAAATATATATATAGCAGAAAAAAACTATCTAGAATAAAGAGACAACATAGAAAATCCAAAAGCAAGGGTAAGAGATACAAAGAATACAGTGAGAAGATCTTGCTTATATCTAGTTGGTGTCCCAGGAGAAAAGAGAAGGAGCTGAGATAACATTTGAAGAGATAATAGCCAAGAATTTTCCAGAACTGATGAAAGACTTTAAAATTCAGATCACAAAGAGCAACAATCCCAAGCATAATTAATTATTTAAGAAATATATTCTTGGCACATTAAATAAATCTTCAGAAGACAAAAGAAAAAGAAAAAAATTAAAGACAGGTGGGGGTGGGGAAAAGATTGTTTTCAAAGGAGCAACAGTTAGATAACTGACTTCTCAACAGCAAAAGTGGAAACCAGAAAACAGTGTAGTATCTTGAAAGGCTTTAAAAGTAAACTGCTAGTCTAAAATTCTATATCCTTGGTGCTCCTGGCTGGCTCAGTCAGGAGAACATGTGACTCTTGATCTTGGGGTTGCAAGTTCAGGCCCCACAGTGGGTGTAGAGACGAAATAAATAAACTTAAAAAAAATTTTTTTTTTTAAATAATAAAATTCTACATCCAGCTAAAATCTTCTTTCATAAATATGAGAAGATGTATAGTTTGTCCACTAGCAAAACACTGCATTAGTTTTCTATTCCTATGCAATAAGTTACTACAAACTTAGCAGCTTAAAATAATATCCATTTATTTTCTCACAGTTCTGTAGATCAGAAGTCCAGGTAAGGATCAATTAGGCTCCCTGCTCAGAGTATGACAAGGCTGAAATCAAGGTGTTGGGTAGGGCTGGGATCTCATCAGAGGCTTGAGGTTCTCTTCCCAAGATCGTATGGTTGAAAGTGAGGTCTAGGGGCGCCTGGGTGGCGCAGTCGGTTAAGCGTCCAACTTCAGCCAGGTCACAATCTCGCGGTCCGTGAGTTCGAGCCCCGAGTCAGGCTCTGGGCTGATGGCTCGGAGCCTGGAGCCTGTTTCCGATTCTGTGTCTCCCTCTCTCTCTGCCCCTCCCCCGTTCATGCTCTGTCTCTCTCTGTCCCAAAAATAAATAAAAAACGTTGAAAAAAAAAAAAAAGAAAGTGAGGTCTAAAAAAAGTCTAAGATTTAAAATTATATGAAGTATATTCTCTGATACAATGAAATTACAAGAAGAAAACTCAGAAAACTCCAGTTACATGGAAATTAAGAAATACTTCTAAATAACACATAGGTCAAATATGTATCACAAAGGAAATTAGAAAATAGTTTGAATCAAGTGTTAACAAAATTTCTGTGTATCGATTCCTACGGGATGTAGCTGACAAAAGGAAATTTGTACCCTTAAATGCACACGTTAGAATATAAGAAAGACTGAAAATTCATGAGCAAAGATAAAGTCTCAAAAAGTAAGAAAGGGACATCTGGGTGGCTCAGTCACTTGGGCGTCCGACTTTGGCTCAGGTCATGATCTCGTGGTTAGCAAGTTCAAGCCCTGCATCAGACTCTGTCCTGACAGTTCAGAGCCTGAAGCCTGCTTCGGATTCTGTGTGTGTGTCTCTCTCTCTGCCCCTCCCCTGTTCCTTCTCTTTCTCTCTCTCTGAAATAAATAAACAGTAAAAAAAAATTTTTTTTCTAAAAGTAATAAAAAGAAGATATGGGATACTATATTATCATTCACAAAGATTCACTAATCCATCTCTGGGCATTGGCATCAGGCTTAGCTATATCTCTTGCTCTAGTCAATGAGAAGCATATAGAAGTATGATGTGTCACATCTAGACAAAAGTTTTAAGAGCCAACATATGGTTCACCATACTGTCTCTTTTCCCTCTGTCATGATGACTGCCAATGTTCTAGATAGTGGCTGTTCTGTCAGCTCAAGTCCCAGAGTGAAGACAATGAGAAGAAGCCAGCCAACCTGACTGGAACAGGTAGAAAAAAAATGAGAAATGTTGTGAAAAGTCCTGAGATTTTTTTTTCTGGATTGTTTGTTACTGCAGTATAACCCAACCTATCCTGACCATTACAGAAGTACAAACGAAACCCAAAAACATAAGATAAATGAAATAATAAGGATAACAGTAAAAATTACAGAAAGGAAAAATAACATGCCATACAGAAGATCAACAAAAGCAAAAGTTGGTTCTTTGAAAGGAACAATAAAACTGATAAAACCTTACAAATTATCAAGAAGATTAAGAAGAGAGAATGCACGAATAACCAATGCCAGGAATAAAAAAGCAGATATCACTATGAATTCCACAAACATTAAAAAGATAACAAGAGGGTTTTATGAGGGCTCCTGGGTGGCTCAATTGGTTAAAGTATCTGACTTCCGGTCAGGTCATGGTCTCATGGTGAGTTCAGGCCCCAAGTTGGGCTCTCTACTGTTAGTACAGAAGCCTGCTTTGGATCCTCTTTCCCCCTCTCTCTCTGCTCCTTCCTGCTTGTTCTCACTCTCAAAATAAATAAATAAACTTAAAAAAAAAAGAGGGTTTATGAATAATTTATGCTTAAAGTGTGAACAGCTAGATGAAATGAATATATTCCTAGAAAAATACAACTTTCTGAAAATTGATCAAGGAGGAAATAGAAATTTTAAGTCCTGTGATTTTTAAATAAATTGAATCAGTACTTTAAAAACTTCCCATCAGGGCGCCTGGGTGGCTCAGTCAGTTAAGCAACCAACTCTTGATTTCAACCCAGGTCATGACCTCACGATTCTTGAGTTCAAGCCCCATATCCAGCTCTGTGCTGACAATGCAGAGCCAGCTTGGGATTCTCTCTCTCCCTTCTCTCTGCCCCTCTGCCCCTCCCTCCCTCTCCCTCTCTCTCTCTCAAAATAAATAAATAAACTTTAAAAAAATAAAATAAAAAAATAAAAACTTTCCATAAGTAGTTAAGGGGAAAATAATGCTTACTGTATACAAACTCTCTAGAGAACAGAAAAAAAAAAAGTGGTATACCCTCCAATTCACTTATAAGGCTAGCTTAACTCTGATACCAAAAGCCAATGAAGATAGTTTCAGAAGAGAAAATTTAGGCAATCTCACTCATGAACACAGACACAAAAATTCTAAATAAAGTAGTACAGCAAGCAATATATAAAAAGGAAAATACATTATAACCAATGTGGTAGACAATATAATGGCTCCCAAAGAGGTTTATATCCTAATCCTCAAAACCTGTGAATATGTCATCTTACATGGCAAAAGGGACTTTGCAAAGTTGACTGAATTAAGGCCCCTGACATGGGCAGATTATCCTGGATTATCCTGTGAGCCCAATGTAATCATCAAAGTCCTCATAAGAGGGAGGCAGGAGGGTCAGAGTCAGAGAGAAGATGTGACCCTGAAAGCGGTGATTGGAGTAATGGACTTTGAAGATGGAGGAAGGGGCCACCAGCCAAGGAATGCAACTAGCCTCTAAAAGCAGGAAAAGGCTAGGAACAATATTCTCTCCTAGAGCCTCCAGAAGAAATACAGATCCGCCAATACCTTGATTTATCCCACAAGGCCCACTCGAGACTTCTGACCCCAAGAACTGGGAGATAATAAAGGTGTGGTAGTTTAAGCCACTATGTATTTGGGGATTTGTTACAGAAGCAACAGGAAACAAATACAACTCAGTTGATCTTATTCTAGAAATGCAAGGATGGTTTAATATTGGAAAATCAAAATAGTTCACCATAGAAATAAATTTGAAGGAGAAAAATTATATGGTGAGCTCAATAAATGAAAAAAAATTTGTAAAATTCAATTTCAATCACCATTAAATAAAACACAAACTTTTAACATTGTAAGATTAAAAAGGGTCTTTTAAAATTGGATATCCTTTATCAGAGGATGAAGCAAAATCAATATGTCATAAACTAGCACTCATATAACACGGTATGTCAATAATACTTCAATAAGAAGGAGGAAGGGGGAGCCTGGGTGGTTCAGTTGGTTGAGCACCCAACTCTTGATTTCGGCTCAGGTCATGATCTCACGGTTCATGGGATCAAGCCCTGTGTTGGGCTCTGCACTGACAGGGCAGAACCTGCTTGGGATTTTTTCTCTCCCTCTCTCTCTGCCCCTCTTCCACTCATGTTCTCTCTTTCTCTCTCTCAAAATAAATAAATAAGCCTTAAAAAAAAAAAAAAAAAAGGAAGGGAGAAGGAAAGAAGAGAGGAAGTTAGTTGCGGGGGGGGGGGGGGGCCGGGGGAGGAAAGAAAGCAATGAGTAACTGCCATAAAAAGCCAGCAGTTACATTTAAGAGGAAGAAGACTGTACTTGGGAAGGGATATATTGGGGACTTCTGGGATGCTGGTAAAACCGTATTTCTTTCTAGTTGATAGTTAATGAAAGTGCTTCATAATAATTATGTTTTATGTAATTTCCTTTAATTGTGTTATTTTTTTTGCTATTCAGCAAAAATGCTATTAAAACAAAAATTTTTTTAAAAGGTAGAGAAGAAAGGAAAAAAGATTTAAAAGCAGAGAGAGCAAAGCTATGTTTCAAGGCCTAAAACTGCTATAATCATTAAAGGGCAGACGCACAAGTTGGCCTTAGGAGTGGTGGAGCTTAAAATCAGGCCACCTAACCTGAGCTGAAAGGCTATCAGTGTTCCTGGGTTGGACTGACTTCTCTCCTCCAGGATAGCAGTATCTGGGCAAAGAACCAGCACTGGCAAAGGCTGGGAGAAAGTGTGAACCCCCACTCTTGGGTGGGCACCATTGTAGCAGTCCTGCAAGATGACACAGAAAACACCGAGGAGAAGCAGGAGTCACCTGGGACCCCAGGGGAACAGAATGGACCCAGATGATGGGAGGGAAGTCAATCCATGGAAAAACGTGCTAGTATCTCAATCATGAAATTGGGTGGAGGGGAGGGAGGGATAGGCGACATCCCAGAGCTCTCATCTCCCAGGCCTGGGGAAACCTTCAACATTATAGGATTCCGAAATTAACATAATAAATAATTACTGAGTGCCCACTATGCACAAGCACAAAGAATTCATGGTTTTGAAGCTTGCCTTTGTAGGGCCTCATCCCTCACCTAACAATTACCTGCAGTTTTTCTGGCAGCTGTCAAAGGGAAAAACTGACCATACAGCCAGCCCTTGGCAGAGTTTTCATGGCAACATTCTAGGAGGGCTGGTTCAGTTGGCCAGTTCACAGTACTAATCATTAAGTATGACACGAGACACCATGGGCCAGAAATGCTATGAGCCAACAACCAAGGTCATAAGTAAAGGCTGATTTCCAAATACAAGGCCTGTGGGCCATGGGACTACAAGAAGATTGGGCAGGCTCTGTATCATACACACTGATGATCTGAGTGCATGAAAGCACTCTTGGCTATGAAGAAAAGGTTTAATTGTATTCAAATTTAGGGTTTTTAGGGTTCCTGTTGGGAACACAGGGTCCTGCGGGGGCCCTGAACAGCAAATACAAGAGAGAAGAGAGGAACAGAAGGTGGGAAGGACATCCCCCACCAGGCTTTTCCCATGTCTGGATGGCCTAATTACTCTCAGCACTGTGACAATTAGTATAAATAAGAGTGATTTGAGTGAGGGGATGTGGTAATAATCATACATAATCCCTCTCTGTATTAGTACACAGGAAGAATCGTTCCAATTTTAGTATACGTGCTGCCGAAGCGAGCACAGTACACAGGAAGAATCAAAACCACCTGCACCCTGCTTACTGTTGATGTTAACATGACCTTTTTATTATATGAAACTCTTGCTCGGGATGATAAAGTTGTAAATAACTATTGTTTTTGCAGAAATTTCAAGAAGTAACCTTGAATGAATTTTGCAACTTTTCAATAGATTGCATCCAACCACTGTTTATCTTCTAAGACTCCTTGAAACTCTTGTTTCAAAACCCTCACCTCACACTGTCCATCCATCCTGAACTATTGTTATCATGATTCTTGCCCAGTCCTTATCAAGCTCATTAGAAAAGCTGCCTTAAAATAGACCCAATATTTTATAAATATCTTGACGTAGCCTCCCCAATACAGATGCTACTATGACTCTGCACAGTTGTGTTTTCCTTCCTGCGATCAGAACTCAGCTTTGCATTCTCACAAAGTTGTTCGGACGATATTTTCAGGGAGCAGCATTCAATTATGAGGCCCACTGAGACCTCCTTGCCAATGTGGCCAAGACCCTGACTCAGAAAGTGTGCTCCTCTGAGGTCCTCAAGCCCCTCAGGAGTCTTTTAGACCACAGCAATGAGAGATGTAAGTCTTGTACTGGGCTTGAGCTCCCCAAGTACAGAGTCTATTTGTCTCTAGTGATAAGGAATCCCTTTCGGGAATCCTTTGATTATCTGACCATATTTGAAAATCTTTTCTCTTGGTAGATATCTGCCTTATTATGAACAATACCACTATTGTCTATGTCCATCCTGGTCATTTTCGGTTGTGCCTCAATCAGAGCAAAGTTTATAGTGGAAAGGACAGATACGGGACCCAAGAAGTATGTCCCTAACCTGGCCCTGGGACAAATTCTGTCTTGGGCCAGTTATGAGAACTCTCCTCAGACTTGTCTTGAGGTTCAGCAAAGATGTCTCCACACCTTTTATCTGCCAGGAAGTATAAATTCATCAGAGTTGTGGCTGGGTAAGGTCTAGCTGTGAGGCTGGGGGCCTTGAGCCAGAGGATGCCATTCCCAGGCTCTCAAGGCTTTGTCTTGGTATAAACCTCAGTCCATGCCATCCATGTATTTATGCTCTATCCAAATTTGTGCACTTATCTTCCTAAATAGCATCATTTCACCAAGGATAATTTAGAATTACAGGGGCCACTATGAGGAAGTTCTGATATGAACTGTTATTCACTGGAGAGGTGCCACAGAATGTAAAGGCAGCACAATTCTAAGCATCCAATGGTCTTCATTATTTTTTATTAGCATGAGGAAGCATCCAAAAGAAACCATATTCAAAAATTGCTTCCTTAACAGATTGCTTGGCCAAAGCAAAAGAAAAATGTGAACATGTTAAAACTATTTTTTAGATCTCCCAAACCACAACTCAAGCCTACGATCTTCTTCCCCCATGCTATGCACCTCCCATCTCCTGCTACCCCTCTACCTCTTCCCCTGATGCACTGCCCCTCCCTTCTGGCCAGCCAGGTACCCCAAATCTCACTTACCTCTTTAAAGTAAACCTCCTGCAGAACAGAGAAAACCTCTTATGGTGGATTTTAAGCTCTGGTTTCACTCTCAGCTGAAAGCCATTGTCAGAGACTCTGTCATTGCCTAGACGAGAGAGAAAACATTGCAGAGGAACTTAGAATCATTTGAGAGACATATAGCCCAGGGCAGCCATATATGTACCAATTCCTTCTAGATGCAAGGAGTTCAATGAAAAAGTCAGAATGGGAAGACTCTCAAGGGTAACTTAAATAGCCTTCATTTGCATAGGAAATCCTTGGGGTTTATAAAAGCTGGAGAGTTGGTCAAGGTCTTTTGGAGGCTATCCTCTTGTCTTTCGGGTGAAAATAGACTGTGCTCTGGTTCAGTTCTTCAAACCAAAAAGGGAGAAGTCTGATGGAGACTTCAGGGAAGGTTCATACCTAGTGGCTGCACGCAGGAGTTGATCCTGAAGCAGACATGACCCTGGCTCCTCTCTTATCTTTCTGTGAATGGCCTTGAACCATACATAGAAGAGCCATATTATGCAAGCAAAAAGTAGAATGGGAAATGACCCCAAGCCCAGACCCCCAAAACCTTGCTGAATATTTGGAAAGAGTTCTAGAACTAAGCAACCAAACAACAACAAAGATACCAATGAAGGTGTTTCGTTTCTTGTTCGACTCTTTTTTTTTTTAATTTTTTAAATGTTTTTAAAGAGAGAGAGAGAGAGAGTGATGGAGTTATTTTTGAGAGAGAGAGAGAGATGGAGTACGAGCAGGGGAGGAACAGAGAGAGAAGGAGACACAAAATCTGCGAAGCAGAGCCCAACATGGGCTGAGCCCAACATGGGGCTTGAACTCGTGAACCATGAGATCATGACCTGAGCCAAAGTTGGAAGCTTAACTGACCGAGCCACCCAGGCGCCCTTCTCATTCTACTCTTAAACCCACTAGGAAACATTTCTTTAAAAATTAAAGGACAACCTTACAAATGTTTTATTGATATACCATAATAATACCAATCTTAAACCCAACCACTATTATACAACCTCTTCCTTGGAGTCAGCAAACTACTCTGGCCACACATCTAATCTCACCATGCTTTCCCCAGGCCCCAGTCCATAACCATCAGCCTCAAACCTTTAACCAAGGAATGTTCTTTTAACTTTTGGGACACCACACTCATTAACTTAATAGCAAGGGATTTACTGTGCGACTGTCACTGCTACATTAAATGCTCTCCTGATGGTCTCTTCCTTCTGGTCCCCAAGGACCTCCCTATTCATAACAAGATCCTGGCTCATTTGGATATGATTTACCAGTACCTTTGTGTGTAAATCAAGCAGAGACTGAAGCTCTCTTAACAGCAAAAATCCTACTGATATTCTACTGGAGCAAAACCCATCAAGGTTCAATCTCTACCCAAACTTGCATAACAGCATCTAATATAAGGTGATAAAGAAGGAGTAAAACTAATAATCAGAAGCCTTTTTTAAAAAAAGAAAAGACTTAAAGAGAAAGGAGTCTCATACCTTGTCCCAGCCCTTGTAACATGCTCCTATCCTCTCAGTTGAAAAACCCAGTGGGCAGGAATATAGATTTGTTTAGGATCCCAGGGCCACATATAAATTAGTCACTCGCTGCTTCCCTTTAAGATCAAACTCAAATACACTACTATTCTTTTTTTTTTTTTTTTTTTTTTTGGTTTCCATACAACACCCAGTGCTCATCCCAAAAGGTGCCCTCCTCAATACCCATCACCCACCCTCCCCTCACTCCCACCCCCCATCAACCCTCAGTTTGTTCTCAGTTCTTAAGAGTCTCTTATGCTTTGGCTCTCTTCCACTCTAACCTCTTTTTTTTTTTTCCTTCCCCTCCCCCATGGGTTTCTGTTAAGTTTCTCAGGATCCACATAAGAGTGAAACCATATGGTATCTGTCTTTCTCTGTATGGCTTATTTCACTTAGCATCACACTCTCCAGTTCCATCCACGTTGCTACAAAGGGCCATATTTCATTCTTTCTCATTGCCACGTAGTACTCCATTGTGTATATAAACCACAATTTCTTTATGCATTCATCAGTTGATGGACATTTAGGCTCTTTCCATAATTTGGCTATTGTTGAGAGTGCTGCTATAAACATTGGGGTACAAGTGCCCCTATGCATCAGTACTCCTGTATCCCTTGGGTAAATTCCTAGCAGTGCTATTGCTGGGTCATAGGGTAGGTCTATTTTTAATTTTTTGAGGAACCTCCACACTGTTTTCCAGAGTGGCTTCACCAATTTGCATTCCCACCAACAGTGCAAGTCAAATACACTACCATTCTATTTGCAAGTCCTAAAGAGACTGACTATGTGTTTCACAGTTGTAGATCCATACTTGTGCTTCCTTTGCTGTGTGTCTGTAAATGAAAAGTCAATACTTGTTTGTCTTCTCCAGGGAAAATCAAAAATAGTACCTGGACCACCGTGCCTCAGTTTACTGAGGTCCCCTCCTACATTTCACAAATCCTCAATCAGAACCTCAAGGGCCTTACACTGCCCTGTAATTCTATTCTTATTCAATATGTGGACAGACAATCTTTTGTTGTGTTCCAAAGATGAGGTGAGCTCCAAGGCTGATTCATCTACTGCTTACTGCTCAGAGACAGCAGAAGGGCTCCATAGAAAAGCTGACAATTTGTCAAAGGAAGTGCACTACCCAAGACAAAAGATATCTCATGGAGGGAAATCCCTTACTCCAGACAACCAGCTGTGCAAGGGGTTTGTGGCCCATATCTAAGACAGTTATGAGGATCCCCAGGTCTCACTGGCTACTGCAGGCCATACATCCTGAACTTTTCTGAAATCTCCACTCCATTATTCAACCCACTCAAGTCCTTGCTAACCACACCTTTTCTCTCGGAATCTGAACATGAACAGACTTTTTGTGAGTTCAGATTAGCTCTTCAACACCCTCCCATTCTGGGCCTAACCAAATACCATAAACCTTCAACCTATAAGTACATGAGAGATCTCTTCAAGCCCTTAACTTCGTGGGAATCGAGACCAATAGCTTGTGATCTAGTGGCAAGAGCCTCCCCACCTAGTCAGAGGCAGCAGCTGAACTAGTGGAATATTCTGTCAGCTTGGTGGTAGAGGTGATTTGTCCGGTACCATCTTTGTTGCTCTGTAAAATTACACATTTCTTAGTAGGTCGGTTTACCTCCTGTGAACTTCAGTACTTTCTCTGAGATGCTGGGACTGTCAGGCAGTGCTCTCCCTCAGTCTGGTAGGCAATCAACGCAGCTTCTCACGATCAGCAAGTTATTTTTATAGCATTTTCCAGCCAGCACATAATGGCAATCTTTATTAGAACTTGTCCTAAACTCTCATCTGAGAGATTTCAGATTATTAAAAAAGAAAAACAATCACCATCTGAGAGATTTCTGATTATTAAAAAATAAAAGCAACTGCCACACTTTCCACACGCCTTTTATTTTGGCAAACATTACTAATACAATCATGGCTGCTCTTTGCTCTTGTTCCTATAGTCTCTTACTCCCCTGAAAAAAATGCTGGTCACTAGCAGGTTAGGGGCTTGTCTCTGCCAGAAAAGAACCACAAAGGTATCAGGAATGTGGCTGCAGTGTTAAGGAACAGCTCGTTATAAGTTCTAACCACAATACTGTGTTCCTCTCTCCCCCATGCCATGCCCACACAAATCTTGGTGCTTGAGTCAAAGGAACAAGCAACAATTCTTCAGTTAGTTCCCTGGAGTCCTGCAACCTGGGGGCAGGGTTGGCAACGATTAGGGAGAAAAAAGGGAGGAGGGGAGGTTTATTTATTTCCATCAGGGCTGCCTTCCTGTCCTCAACTCTGCTGTCCTCTGCCTGCTCCAACGCTGACCCTGGGGCATATCACAGGGTGTTCTCAGGCCATCCTCATCTAAAGAACAGGGACAGCTCTCTCCAAGTGAAAGGCGGTTCCAGTGACCAACAAGGGTAGCCAAAGGCTAACCAAATGCCAGCTACAGGGGGTAACAAGAGTAGGCGCAGCTTTCATGTAAATGGAGTAAATGGTTTCTAAATTCGAAAGGCCAGACCTGTCCGTTTTCCTTCATCTACTTTCTGGCTTCTGGAAGTTTAGGACAGACCCCAAGTGCTCCCAAGGTCAGAAAATGCTGTCCCCAAGCATGGAATGGAGCTGCATTCGGAACCTGGAAAGGAGGGTACCCATCTGGGAGTTATAGGAGTGGAGTAGTGGTGAAGCAGAAGATTGCCTTCCACAGACAGGGGGGGGGGGGGGGGGGGGGGGGGGGGGGGGGGGGGGGGGGGGGG